TGTTCTAAGACAAGAAAATAGGGAGAAATCCCCAAGCTTTGCCGGATTTCTGACCAGAAATGGGTGGCGGTGACGGGGTGGGCTCATCGAGTGTAAAGGGTCGAGGGAGAAGAAGAGCAAGGCACGCGGGTATGATGAGGAAGGAAAGAAAGAAGAAAAAGAAAGAAAAAAAAGGAAAAGAAAAAGCAATTCATCCTTATCCTAATTTTCTTTCTTTTAAGTCCCTCAACTTTTAAAGATTTTACGATTAAGCTCCAAAACAATATTTTTCCTCAAATAAGTCCCCAATTTAATGCTAAAATACCCCAAAATCTTGGGATATTACATCCACCCCTCCTAAAAAGGAGTTTTGTCCCCAAAACTCAAATTGAGGACCATTTCGATTAGTGAATGGCTTCACACAATCTAAGACTAAACAAATGCCCATCGATTTTCTATGGTCAGAACATGACGTACTACGCTTCCGCTGCGCCACTCTAATATCAAATCACAACAATAACAATTCTCAATCTCCACCCTCCCTAATGACTATTTGGGAGGCGGGAGAGAACTTCATGCCTTAACACAAGTAACTAAACTTGAGAGTTATTGGCGTGATTATGTGGTGCCCTTGACTCAAATCAAGACCCGGCACTCATCAAACACAACTATATGGCAAGGAATCTAATGATGAGTCCAACTAAAAGATGGAACTCCATCCGAGACGGATAAACATCACTCGGATATACAAAATCATGAACGGATGAATGCATGCATATGCATGTATGAATGAATGCCTTTATGCATGCATGTAGGAATGCTCATGTGTGCATGCATGAATGCCCATGTATATGCTCATGTATGTCCATGTTTGCATTCATGTATGAATGCCCAGATGAATACTCAAACAAACAGACCTAATGTGGAATGCCTTATACATCCTGCCACAACCAAAATCAAGCATACTATCACAAGGGACCAAGTTTCAAACAAGGTCCTAAGAGCATAGTGAGCAAGATTAATTTCAAAACTTCTCACTATCGGCAGATAATAGGTACTGACTAAATTACTATCTCATCAACGCGGATCAAAAAATTCAAGCAACACAAATCAGAATCGTCCCTTGTATAACCCCATCACTCGTCTCACCACGGTTCTAAATCCCTTAACTAGCCAAGTTCAAAACATATCCTAGGTATTTAATTAAACCTAGGCTCGGATATCACAAAATCTTAATCAAATCTAAGCTCTGATACCACTAAATCTGAAGGTGCTTAATTTAATCCAAAACTCTTAATTTAAACTTAAGCTCTTAATTTCAACCTAAGCTCTGATACCACTAAATCTGTCACGCCCCAGAACCCAAATCCGAAGACGCGACAGACACCGTGCACTCGTGATCGGGTCCCACGAATGCACAAGGCTCGGAACTTGTCCAAATCACATATGACAATCCAAACTCAGATCAGATATTTCAAAATTAATTCCCTATGTCCAAACACGACTTAACCTCAAAATCTCCAGATCAAATCTCTTATAAACTAACTGTCCGCTAAATGAAT